AAGCAGGCTCGGGACTCAACCCCGGGGATCATGACCTGAGCTGAAGGCAGCCATTTAACCAACTGAGCCACCCAGGTGTCCCATAAGTCCTCATATATTAAGCACCTACTATGTGTGAGGTGTTTTATAAATATATTCTTATTCTTAGTAATACCTTCTGCCCTGGGTATTGCTGTTATGCCCAATTATGGAGGAGGAAGCCAAGCAAATACACAGTGTAATTTGGTCAATTCCCAGCTACCAAGTGGGAAAGCAAGGATTCAAACTCCTGTCCCTCTCACTTCAGGGCCTGCCAAGAACCTGGAGTGGGCCTGAGTAAATGAGGGGGTGTTTTTGAGTGTGCAGGAAGTGGTAGATTGGGCAAAGAGCAAAACCTGAAGCCTGGTGCCATCACCAACTCCATTCATTCATTCATTCATTCATTCATTCATTCATTCAGCAGAGATCTGTTGAACCCTTACTGTGTGTGCAAGGCATTACCGTGGGAGCAGTAAACAAAATATACAAACATACCTGCCTCACGGATTTTGTATTCTTGTGGGATGTAAAAGACAATAAAGAAAATAAATTACGTTTCCCTCCTAATTTGTAAGAGTCCTACAAGATGTCCATAGGGGATGGGATAGTGTAGCAGGAAATGCAGGGTTTCTGCAGCCAGAATGCCTGGGCTTGAGTCCCGGCTCCGTCAGTTCCTGGCTGTGTGGTGCTGGGAAAATGACTCAGCCTCTCTGAGCCTCTGTTTCTCTGGTGTAAAATCGGACTAATAATCCCTACCCACCTAAATCGTTAGGACGAGTAAATGAGACAATAGGGGCAAAACTCTTAAGTAACAGAATTCCATTGGCAGAGAAGGTCTTTTTGATTCTGTGGCTCTGGAGGTGACCTTGAGTTCTCACAGTTCCTGAGTCTGTGGAGAGACACTGGTGCGGAGTCCTCAGAAATGGAGGTTGATTTCTATTTATTCGGCCTTGCTCAGCTCTCTGACAGGACCCCCTTTTCACAGTCCCGATAGAGGTGGTCCTTTCCACTTAAAACAGACAGTCTTGTCTTCTCATTTCCTGAGACCACACGTGGGCCCCTTCTGTTCCCAGAACAAGAGACGAGGGAGAGGGCAGCATGGCGCCCCGAGGAGCAGGAGCGGGGCTTGTGCGGCTACAGGCTTAGTCTCATTGCCAGGGCTTTGTGAGCAGCCCTCAGAGAGGGACTCGCAGGAAGATTTTATTTGCTTTTCCCCGGACGCCAGCCCTGTCAGGCAGCCTTCACCTTATAACGCGGCCTACATCCGACCACTGTGTTCCCGAGTGGGGTCAGGTCTGCGGAGGCTGGGAAGGTTGAATTTTAATTCAAAATGTGTTTTCACCCTTAATTCTGCTGCCCCAGACAAGGACACACGCGCACACACACACACACACACACACACACACTCCTGTTCTACTTAGTCCTTCATGCACTTCTCAGAGTGGATACATTTTTTATATCCTTTGATTAATATGAGCCTCTCACAGTTACTGGAAATATGGGGTCGATCAGGGGCTCTGCCCACCACTGCTCACCACTGCATCCCCCTACTCTGAGTTTGTGTTACAATTAGGGTTGCCAAATTTACTAAATAAAAATACAAGGTGCCCACTTACATTAGAAATTTGGAAAATGAATAGTTTTCAGATAAAATAGGTGCTGTGTAATATTTGGGACATGTCCTAAAAATGATTGGTTATTTTTCTAAAATTCAAATCTAACTGGGTGTCCTGTATTTTATCCGGCAACCCTAATTCTACCTTGTTTGTGTTGCTCGGTAAATATATCCATGAATGAGGGAATGAATGGGGCTAATGCACGATTAAAAGCAGAAAACCAAATGCAGACATTTTCTGGCAAGTACATACCAACGTGTTGGAAGTGGTTGTTTCGAGGTGGTAGCATTATTGGAGAATTTTCATTTTTCTATGTGATTTTTCTGTTCTTCAAGTTGACTGCTGTGTGTACAGTTTTCACATATCACATATGTATGTATTTATACCTCTAGACACACACACACACCCCAACTTCTTTTTTTTTTTTTTAAGATTTTATTTATTTATCTGAGAGAGACAATGAGATAGAGCATGAGAGGGGGGAGGGTCAGAGGGAGAAGCAGAACCCCCCGCTGAGCAGGGAGCCCGATGCGGGACTCGATCCAGGGACTCCAGGATCATGACCTGAGCCGAAGGCAGTCGCCTAGCCAACTGAGCCACCCAGGCGCCCCCCAACTTCTTAACATTAGTGTAAAACCTGCTTGAAAGAAACAGTCTGTGTTTTTCCTCAGCCTGAAAACCAGGATTTTCTGAACACATCCTTAGGGGTTAGCGGCATTTTGAGTATCCACAAGAAGACCACTGAAAGCAATATTGAGAGGCCTACGTAGCTTACCAATACAATAGAGTACACAAGGGGTACACAGGAATTCAAAAGGATTGCTGTTACATTATTAATCATACAGTGCTTCTTAAGAAAATTGGCTCCTGAAGCTTTGGGGATGTAAAGATAAAACGAGCTAAACCTAGGACACAAAATGCTGATTAAATTGTACATAATGGGGGATCTCTGAATCTTTGTTCTTTGATTTGCAGAATGAGGGTGGAAATCAAAACAAACATAAGCTCTTACAGAGAATGAGTTGAAGACTTGGCCCTCCCCCACCATTTACATAACTTCCTGGGATGTTTTGAGGCTGAGCACCTCCGGACTTTGTGTCTGGGGTAGCCCACGGTGACCCAGCAGTGACGGACATGTTCAGAATGCTACACGTTCATGGAGCAAGGAAGGGAAAGAACTCCCATCTATATGATGTTTGCTCTGTGCTGGGCATGGCACTGTATCTCATTTTGTTCATAAAAACAACCCCCAAGTTACACACATCAACCTCGTCTTATAACCATGTGACTTAAAACTGATAAAGACGGGGGTGCCTGGGTGGCTCAGTCAGTTACGCGGCTGCCTTCAGCTCAGGTCATGATCTCAGTGTCTTGGGATCGAGCCCTGCGTTGGGCTCCCTGCTCAGTGGGGAGTTGGCTTCCCCCCTCCCCCTCCCTCTCCTTCTTCACCTGCTTGTGTTCTATCAAATAAATAAATAAAATCTTACAAAAAATGATGAGTATTGCTCACAGGTCCCACCTCCAGAAGTATTGCAAGGTGCTTAATAGTTGGAGAGTCACTTACATTTCTTATGTTGTACTTACTGAGGCAGAAAGCCTTTATTAGAAGGAATAAATATGCTTTCTGACAATTTTTATCTCAGGATTTGAAAGACTGTAAGTTTTCTGCTATACTTGAAGGATGCCCCCCTCTCAGTTTACAGTTCTGAATGTGGTACTAGAATTAAGGTGGGGCGGATTTCTTCTCTCTCCTCCATCACTATTAATGGTGTCCACCATCCTGCATGGTTCCGTGTGAGAGGAAGGCTAGGCTCTATGTCACGTTATCACCAAGTCCGCATGCGTGGGGCACAGAGAGTTGCCTGCATTGACAAGTTACGGCAGAATCGGTAAACTTTGGCTAGCTTCAAGTCTCCTAACACCCACCTCACAAAAAAATAAAATAAATAGAAACGGGAAGGGACTGAAATCCGTTTTGATTATTCAGTGATGAGGGAGCGGCATGAAAGGGGGAAATGCTCTGTCCTTCTGAAGGGTTTCTGGTCTTAAAAGGAGAGAATTAGTTGGCTGAACTTTGGAAGAAGGAAAATGTGACTTTGAACAAAGGGAGGATGTGAATTGAGAGCACCTTGTCATTGTCAGGGTGGGGGGGGGGCGGAAAGTCAATCTGGTGATTGCTAAACGTGGGGAAGAAAGAGCCGCATCCATGTAACACTGCGTGGCAACGCTGTGAATAGGCCACTCTGAGCTACTGATTAAATACACCGAGCGTGGGCCAGAATTGGACTCCACTGTGTCTGAGGAGGGCACGAACCAAAGGGACCCATTTCCAGGTCACACAGAACCATATTTTCAACTATGGTGTGGAGTCTTGGAGCAAAGTGTATATTAAGTGAACCGTATTAATTAAGGATGGAGGGAGACAGGTTTTATGCATTAACTCCTCCAGAGAAATGTCCCTAAGCACACAGTGACATTCCAATTATTTTTCCATTAGTATTCTCTGAATACTTTCTTTCTTTCTTTCTTTCTTTCTTTTTTTTTTTTTTTTGCCTTCCCTAGTAGAAACTGCTTGGTATGCATATTTAAGTAACAGTCACACTGAATTAGCTTTAAGAATAGGCTCTTAACATAATGGATGCATTCAAGTGTAGAGGAAAATGAGAGAGCCACATACAGACCTCCACGCATAAGAAAAGAGCAGGGAGTAAGAGACACAGCCAGCTTCTAGCCATTTTCTAAGCCTTGGATTATGATCCTGACTTTGGGAGGAGATCACATTTACCTAATGTCTAGCCACTGATCTGAGTTAGCTCCAGCTCTGTTAGAAGCTATTTGGTGAGAAAGGCAGCACCTGTCCTTTTCCAGCTCCCAGGTATATATATGTGGCCGCTCGAGAAGGACGCTACAAGGAATCCATGTCTACTACCAGTCATTCTAGAGAGCAAGTGCTTTTTTGTACAAGTTCTCAAGATCAACCTCCCCTCAGCCATTGATGACCTACTTAGTACCCAACGTCGCTGCCCCACAATTAATGGGGGAAAAGTATCTCAACGAATGACAAGACATCTGAACTCATTCTTTGTCAGCCTATTTGGCTGCCATGTTTTAAAAAATATATGGTCCTCAAGGACCGGGGGAACTGTGACAAAAAACAAAAACAAAACAAGCAGTAATTATTCGTGACAAAAAACAACAATTTGTTTCATTTAAAGCCAAAGAAATTAAGGAGAACCAAAGCCCTTGAGGAAGAGCCTACTGAAGATTTTGCAAATGCACACCTGGAAATCAAGACGGGTTTAGGGAACAGTGTTTGGGGGTGAAGGTAGAAATGACTCCATTCAGAGATCCCGTAAAACCACTTACCACAAATTAACCAGGAAAGGATGCTCCAGACCCTGCATGATCTGGAGTTCCTTGAAGACATTTCTCACTTCATTGCGCTCCACGCACTTTTGTTTGTTCATGTACTTCATTGCGTACATCTTCTTGGTATCGTTCTTCTGCACGATGCAGACCTAATGGCACAATCCAGAATGAGAAAGTGGTCAGGGAGTTGACAGATCACGGCCATGGGAGACAGGACAGGAGGTTCTCAAAAGCATGGCCTGGAGGCCTCACCACTTGCAAATTCTCTGATGCTGACGTTGCTGCTTAGCTCTGATTTCAGAGTAGAAAATTTCATTTTCTTCCCCTGTATCAGGTCAGTTCATGAATCTCTGTTTTCTCAAGCAAGCCTGCCTGTTTTTTGCTCTTTGGGTTTTGTTTAGACAGCATGTTGGAGAAAATAGCTGCTTCCTTGTCAGGAATCTTCCAACAGCCAATGACATGCTATTCTGCTTTGAGTGACTGATATGGGCACGGCTAAACTGCCGAGCCGAACAACACTGCGCCAAGAATTTCTCTTTACACAGTAGTTGATAGAACCTAAAAGGACTTAAAGCACTGGGAAAGCACTGCACATGATGTCCATGGTTCTGAAATTCTTTTAGAGGTTCTAGATGTCTGATAAAGTGGGCAGGAGATGATTTTAAAATCCAAGTTCAATATGAAATAAGAAATACTCTCAAAGTATGTCTCTACCAAGAAACTAATGATCAGGATTTGAATCTAGAAGTTTCTTGCAAAAAAATTAGGCTGGATCTATCTTTCATGGTCGATTTTTGAAAATAAAAACATGGTATAACTGGAGGAAAAAGAGATATCTTTTCCACATAAAAAGAGTTATCTCTTGGGGCGCCTGGGTGGCTCAGTCGGTTAAGCATCTGCCTTCAGCTCAGGGCATGATCCTAGGGTCCTGGAGTCAAGCCCCACTGTTGGGCTCCCCGCTCAGTGGGGAGCCTACTTTTCCCTCACACTTTGCCCATCCCCCCGCCCACACGCTCTCTCACTCTTTCTCTCTCTCTCTCTAAAATAAATAAATAGAATCTTAAAAAAAAAAAAGAAATAACTTTTACATTGACAGGTAAGTGTTACCAAAGGCATGGGTACAATTGGCAACTGAGTCCAAAATTTTAGAGTGGAGAGAAAGTCTTAAAATCTAGTGAGAGTAAATGGGCATGACAATGAAATAATTCTGAGAACAATAGATGTTCATTATATCACACACCTCAAACTCTAGTGACAATTTTATAAAAACCTCTCTGAATTATCATTCCTTGTGGTCCCAGTAACTGAAATAATCTGAACATTCTCAGACTCTGTTCCCTGAGCTACATGACCCTGCTGGTGGTTAATCATTTTGGTTCTCACCTTCCCAAAACTGCCTTTCCCAATGGCTCGCAAAATTTCAAAGTGGTCAAAGTTGACTGCAAAACAAACAAAAAGAACAATGTGAAGGATTATCAGTTGTTTTTTAGTTGCTAATAAATAATAAAGATTAGGCGAAACCAGAGTACCTTGTTTAAGACAACATTCCAGATGACCTTAGGATACCCATTCATTTATTCAATAAATATTTCTTAAACACTTCTTACTCATTAATCACAGTGCTTAGTACTGGGGGATATAGTAATAGCAAAGTAAAAATGGAATCTCTACCTTTTTGGAGCCTGTAGTTTAGTAAGGGCTCCCTATAGAGAGAGACACTTATAGATGAAATAGTCATAACTTAATGGACAATTAAAACTCCCACTAAATGTAAAGAGAGAAGTCATGGGGGCTCTAAGAGCATATAACAATGGATTTCACATAAGTGGCAAGGTCAGGAGGAGCATCACTGAACACTAAGGATTACGGAGAGATCTGGTCCTAGAGAAATGGGACTGACCTTCCTAGATAAAAAAAACATACCTTCTACCCAGAAAGTGCTAATAAAGTCAAGTGGATGACTTATTTAGTAAACAAAGTCAAGTGAATGACTTATTTCCCAAAATTCCTGCAGTTCGAATTTCTCTAATCCACTAGACTATAAACTCAATGAGGGCAGAGATAATAGGTCCTTTTGTTCATCCTGGTTTCCTTAGCAACTCAGAAAATTCCTGGCTTGAGGTAGTTGAAAGCAAAACTACACTTCCCACAGAGCCTCACACAGTGATTTCCACATAGTTGCTTCTCAGCAAATAAATCAAACTAGCTGTAAAGATACACAAGGACCTCAAAAACGGTTGCTTCTTGTAAATATGAGCAGTGTGAGCAGGAGGGTCTTCTGAGGAACTGTTTTTCAAATGGGGTCAAGCCCCATTAATGAGTTATGAAATAAATTGGGTGGTATGAGAAGCATCCAAAATTTAAACAAAGTAGAATGGTTAGAAAACAATCAGAAATGTCTCAAATGTAGGAAGAATAGTGTTGCTTCTGAAACTTAGTTTTGGTTTTACGTATGTGTGTAGGTAGATATGGATTGTATCATGATAAAATTTTTTGGTATATATTTTTTTCACAAAATGGTGAAAATAACTTGAAATTCAGACACCTCTGTAAGTTTTCTCTTAAGTTTCAAACTGATAAAACCAAAGCAAGGATTTCCTCACACTTATTACATGAGGCACAGTTCTATATTATGTACCATAGAGGTGTCAAAAAAATGACCAGGATTTATTTGCAAGTCCAAGATTTAATCTTGAGCCAACCTACTAACATAACACAGTGATTTCTCCACTAGTAGCCTTGCCTAGAATGCTGTGATGACATTTTGAATCTTCAAGCATACAGGAAGTATCTAGAAAGCATGAAGTTCCGTTGTGATACTAATCCATTTCATAAACCATGTCTCTTTATAAGGCATTTTAAGCTTTCAGGAAAATGATCAAAGATTAGATGCCAGGTTGCTGGTTCTACTAGTGTTAACCCCCTTAATTAATGTCTGGTCCCAGAAAAGTGATAGGCCTAAAGTTTTAGGCCTATTTATGCCTTTATTTCTAATCAGTCAAAAAGAGAACAGACTCCAGTCCAATTCCATACTGTCTAAAGTCACTTCCATATATAATAATCAGCATGGAGAGAAAGCCAATGACAAAAGTGGCTGGAAGAGAAGCTCTTATTCCATCCTCACAGTCCCCCTCCCCCTTTTTTCTCTTTTAATTCCAGGGTAGTTAACATACAATGTTTTACTCATTTTCACGTATACAGTTTAGTGATTCAAAATTCCTACTCAGTGCTCATCAAGGTAAGTGTGCTCTTCATCCCCATCCCCTATTTCACCCATCCCCCGGCCCACCTCCCCTCTGGTAACCATCAGTTTCTTCTCTAAAGCTAAGACTGTTTCTTGGCTTGTCTCTCTTTTTCCTTTGTTCATTTGTTTTGTTCCTAAAATGCCACGTATGAGTGAAATCACACGGTGTTTGTCTTTCTCTGACCGACTTATTTCACTTAGCATTATGCTGTCTAGATCCATCCATGTTGGTGCAAGTGGCAAGATCTCATTCCTTTTTATGGCTGAGTAATATTCCATTGTACATATATACCACATCTTCTTTATCCATTCATCTACCACACTGGACTCTTGGGCTGCTTCCATAGTTTGGCTATTTTAAATAATGCTGCAATAAGCCTAGGGGTGCATGGTATTCCTTTGAATTAGTGTTTTTGTCACCTCTGGTTAAGTTTATTCCTAGGTATTTTATTATTTTAGGTGCAATTGCAATGGATCGTTTTTTAATTTCTCTTTCTGATGCTTCATTATTAATGTGTAGAAATGCAATGGATTTCTGTACATTGATTTTTGTATGCTGTGATCTTACTGAATTTAATCATCAGTTCTAGTAGTTTTTTTGGTAGAGTCTTCAGGGTTTTCTCTATATAGCATCATGCCATCTATAAATAGTAAATGTTTTACTTCTTGCTTACCTTGGATGCCTCGTTCTTGACTGATTGCTGTGGCTAGCACTTCCAGTACTGCATTATTTAAAAGAGGTCAGACTGGACACCTTTGTCTTCTTCCTGACCTTAGTGGAGAAGCTCTCAGTTTTTCCCCATTGTGTATAATGTTCACTGTGCGTTTTTTATATAAGGGCTTGATTATGTTCAGATATGTTCCCTGTAAACCTACTTTGTCGAGGGTTTTTATCATGAATGGATGTTGTACTTTGTCAAATGTTTTTTCTGCATCTGTTGAAATGATCATATGGTTTTTATCCTTTCCCTTATTGATGTGATGTATCACATTGACTTGTGAATACTGAGCCACCGTTGTATCCAGTGAATGAATTTTTAAAGTATGTTGTTGGGGGGCGCCTGGGTGGCTCTGTCATTAAGTGTCTGCCTTCGGCTCAGGTCATGGTCCTGGTGTCCGCGATCGAGTCCCGTATCGGGCTCCCTGCTCCCTTCCCCAGCGGGAAGCCTGCTTCTCCCTCTCCCACTCCCCCTGCTTGTGTTCCCTTCTCTCGCTGTGTCTCTGTCAAATAAAATCTTTAAAAAAATTAAAAAACAAAACAAAAACAAAACAACAAAAAATAAAATATATTGTTGGATTCGGTTTGCTAATATTTTGTTGAGGATTTCTGCATCTACGTTCATCAGAGATACTGGCCTGTAGTTCTCTTTTTTTGTTGTGTCTTTATCTGGGTTTGGAATCAGGGTAATGCTGGCCTCATTTACTCTTCCTTCTTAAATGTCCAGCAACAGGAGCTGTAGTTAGGAGGGAGGCTCATGGAAAAGGCAGTGAGACCTCATAACTCAGACAAAATGAGAAAGGGATGACGTCAGAATTATGGATTATTTTATCAACGGAAACCCATTTGTATTACAGGCATATAGGATTTACCAAAGGAGCTGGGTATCAAATAGCATATCCTCTGTATACTTGAACCTTTGATCAACGTGTATAGTATTAACCAGCAGATCATTTATGCTTACAGGTCCCAATGGGCCTGCAGCCTGTTTTTGTCTCGCCTCTGAGCTAAGATCAGTTTTTACATTCTATAAGGATTATTAAAAAAACAATAAAAATATGCAACTGTATAAAAGTCTGTAATATTTACTAGCTGACTCTTTACAGAAAAGTGTGCCAGCCCCTGAGATGAAAAGTACAGGCTTTGGAGACAGACTACCCGAGTTCACATCATAGCTCCTACAATTGATAGTTATATAATCTTGGCAGTTTACTTCTATGCTCTGCTCCTTCATCTCTGAAATGGGTATGGAAATAATATATATCCCACTGGGTTTAGAGGAAGATGGAATGAGTTACTATACATAAAGGACTTAGAATATGAACTGCAACTAGCTATTTTTGCTAGTACTCCTACTACCACTTCTTAGAGAATAGCCTAATTCAGACTCCCAGCAAATACCACCAGAAGTTGCTATCATAGCACATGGCTATTCAGCTTGGAAAAAAATGGCAGTTGTGTCATTTCTCCACATTTGGGACTTTTGTAGTCGACGGTGTGGTGTTCTTGCAGTGTCTCCTCCCATCGCACAATAACTTTGTTGTGTTTACTTGTTGTGTCTTGTCCTTGTATCATGTTCTACAACTTTGTCTCTAGTTCATGGAGGAGATCTGGTGCCAAGATGACATAGGGGTCTTTTAGAGATACTCTTAGACCCTGGTTCTATCTGGGGCCTTGAGGGCAGGCTGTTGAGTGTGGAGAGAGCAGGGCCTGGTTCTCACTTCCACTGACAGAGCTGGCCTATGTACATGGCCTGTGGAAGAACAGACAGGCCGAAAAGCTGAAACCTTCAGCATCTTTCTTATCTGCTTTGGAGTCTTGCTTTCACACATGGCTGCTCACCCCAGTCTTAGCAAACATCATATCAGTAAAGTGTCCTTAATGTTGCCTGGAGGTGTATACCACATCAAGTAGTTTTAAAAATAGCTAAACTAAATACCCATAAAGAGGCTTATTTTTGAGTTCTTCTTTGGGGTAGGTGCACATTCTCCACAAATCAACCAGACACAGAAATTCTATATGCACAAGAGATCTGTTTATGTGTGGTTTGGTACTCATTTCATTTTTTAAAAAAGATTTTATTTATTTGAGAGAAAGAGAGAGCATGAGCCGGGGGGGGGGGGGGGGAGGAGGGGGTAAAGGGAGAAGACTCCTCACTGAGCAGGGAGCCTGATGTGGTTCTTGATCCCAGGACCCTAAAATCATGACCTGAGCCAAAGGCAGATGCTTAACCGACTAAGCCACCCAGATGCCCGGTGTGCATTTCATGTTTATGTCTCATTTTGTCCTCACAACAACCTTACAGTGTGTGTAGCTAGGGGTGCTCTGGATCAGAGAGATTAAATAACTTGCTGTGGGCATCACCAGTACCATGACTAAATGACCCTGGGGTTAGGTTCTGAAGACGGAAAGTAGGGCGGAACCTTGGTTAGTCCAAACTACACGTGAAAATCCTCTAGAAATGTATTG